ACAACAATTACAACAACCGTGACCACAGCGGTTGTAATGACCAGCGTACTGGGATCTGCAATACAGAGGCGACCAGTTCGATTCCATCTCCAGGGGCCGCGGTTCTAAAAAATGGGACGGGTCCCTGCCTCTCCCGGCCAGACAAGCGTGCACACCACCGCCACCGCAAACACGGGTGAGGTGATCGGCAGCAGGCCAAGGCGTGGGCACGCCTTAAGATCTTACGACACGTCCGGTCAATGTGGAGGAGTAGGCCAAATACCACGCGAGGATTCACTCCGGTGGAGGCGCCTTCCATCAGCGGTGGCGTGGGCGAGCGGTTGCAGGGCTGCGCCCGGACATTCTGTTGTTTGTTTTTAACAGCTACTGATCTGGACCGTGTTTCGTCTTCGACCACAAAGACGACGATTGTTCCACGCTGCTTCAAGTTTTAGCGGAGGGGGCCAAGATCAGAGAAACGGGGAGGATCAGAGAACGGATGGAAGAAAGGAGTGAATTGTCAAATCCGTAAATGATGAGAAAAACCCCAATGATAGCAGAAAGATAGTGGAGGCCGGAACACCCCGTGGTGTGGATGTGAGGCCTCCACTGTACAATACCTCGTTCCCAGAGGCAGACTTGAGAATGGCGCAGCAGTGAGAATTGGTGACTTGCACTGTGCTGGCGAGTTCTAACGTGGACGAAGCCGGTCCACAGTTGTCTGTCTGTTGCATCTCGGCTGCTTGCCTGAGGGTCAGTGACATTTTCTCAAATTTACTTTGATGCTGAGCTAAGACAGCAGGACCACAGCACGGTTACTCGGGAACTGCTGATGGTTTTAGAATAACGCACAAAAGGCCGAGCGATTCACGTATTCGTTTTCACGGCCCGTCTCGTGTTGGGAGCTCCGGTGCAGGAAGGGGACTGGAGGGTGCGGGAGAAGGAATGATCGGGCAAAGATGTCGGGGATGAGAGGATGATGATGAGAGGGGAGGGAAGAGAGGGAGAAATGGAAGGAGGGAGCGGAAGTGAGTTGCGTGGAAACAGCATTTGATTACACAGTGGACGGCGGGGAGAGGGGATTCATCGTTGGGGTGGCCACATGGCAGTCACGTGGCTTACGGGAGGCTTGAGCTGAAAGAGAGAAACACGTCTGTGGATGGTGCATAGATGAGAGGGGAAGGATCCAGAGTGGGGGTGGCCACACAGAAGTCACGTGATTCCCCGGAGTGTTGAGCTTATTGAGATAAGAGTCGCCTCCCAGCACTGACACCACAATGGGGATGTTACCGTCACTCAGCGGACAGGAAGGGACATCGTAGTGCTTCAGGCGAACTTCCTGGGAAAAGGCCAGTCAGCCAAAACAGTTCAATATCCCTTTCCCATCGGCGTCATTGTGAAAAGAAGAAAAAAACACCTACGGACATCGACACGCACTCGCCATGCCCCTCCGAGCGGGTACTCCTCTCTGTGATCCGCTAACCCCACATTAGACGTCCAAGAGGTCTGTGACGCCGTGGGGTAGGAGGAGGGGGGCGAGGTGGCAGCTCGAGTTGTGAGTTTCCGAGGGACAACTCCTTGTTGAGGGAGCTGCTGTAATTACGCACGGACAACGGAAGGAAACGTGAATGACGAACCCTGAGACGCGTCGGGCGATGATAATGTACAGTATTAGGAAGGGGGAGGGCCATCATTGACTGGGAATGTCGCCCATTATATATTTATATACTTTACCTTTCTCAGTTATCGACAAACGTTTTGAGTTTGTGTCTAATTCCGTTTAGCGGTTTTAATTAAATGATTGAATGCACGGATTACCGTTGTCCCTCCTCCTCTCCACCCTCCTCCTCTCCACCCTCCTCCTCTCCACCCTCCTCCTCTCCACCCTCCTCCTCTCCACCCTCCACCTCCTCCACCCTCCTCCTCCTCCACCCTCCTCCACCCTCCTCCACCCTCCTCCTCCTCCATCCCTCCTCCACCCTCCTCCTCCTCCACCCTCCTCCTCCACCCTCCTCCTGCACCCTCGTTCTCCTCCTCCACCCTCCTCGCCATCCTCCTCCGCCCTCCTCCTCCACCCTCCTCCTCCTCCGCCCTCCTCCTCCTCCTCCTCCGCCCTCCTCCTCCTCCTCCGCCCTCCTCCTCCTCCGCCCTCCTTCTCCGCCCTCCTCCTCCATCCTCCTCCTCCGCCCTCCCCCTCCTCCTCCGCCCTCCTCCTCTTCCTCCACCCTCCATCCTCCTCCTCCCCCCTCCTCCTTCTCCATCCCTCCTCCTCCACCCTCCTCCACCCTCCCCCTCCTCCTCCCCCCCCCTCCTCCTCCCCCCCTCCTCCTCCTCCCCCCTCCTCCTCCCCCTCCTCCTCCCCCCCCCCTGCTCCTCCCCCCTCCTCCTCCTCCCACCATGTCCTCCTCCCCCCTCCTCCTCCCCCCTCCTCCCCCCCCCTCCTCCTCCCCCGGAGGATGGGAGAGGGCGGGGGGGTGTAGAGGGGGTGCAGAGGGGGGGGGGGGGGCGTTGTAACCAGGGGGCAAATCACCAAGCGACGCTCGTTTTGATTGATATTACACGCGACGGAACAGCTGCGGCCTCGAGCGCGTCAAGGTGTCGGGTCGCCAGACGATCGATCGCGCGGCGAAGCCAAACGCCAATCGCAAATCCTTCTTGCGCGTGGCACCGGTACCGCGAACCATCATCATCATAATACAAATACAGCGGGGAGCGGCGGGGCTAGCGGTCAGCGCTGTACTACGAACCCGATTATCTGAATCGCTCCTAGGTCGACTCAGCCTCAAATGAGTACCTGGTGCGATGTGTAAACATCGCCACTAGAGAGACAAAGGCGGCCAGGCGTGGTGCTGGCCACCTACCCTGGAGGACCCAGAGAAAAATCCACGGGACCACGTTGGGGGGGGGGGGGGGGGGGAGAGAGACCCAAACTCCAAATACTGTATGCAGCAGGCTTCAGGGTCGGGATCGAACCCACGACCTCCTGTATACCAGGCGAGGGAGTTAACATCTCCTAGCCACCGCGGCGACCCCGCCCTCCCCCGTTACGGATACGGGGGAAAAGCGGCGAATACTCGGAAGCGAAAAAAAACCCCAGCGCGAGCATAAACCCGTGATCCTGATCCCTGTGTCAAGTTGAACACCACCACAGAGTGCAATTTCACTCCCTCGCCAGATGCCTCCACCCATCAGGAAAGGGGGGGGGGGGCAAAGAAACCTCACCGCTGTCGTACATCCACAACCACCGCATGACCTCGCCCGTCTGCTCACGATTCCATCTCCTCCCCCCCCCAGTCCCCGTGCCACCCCCACACCGCCCACCATACCCCACCCCACAAACTGCCCAGGGCAGTAAAACCATGTTTTCACAGAGCACGGTCTGCAAAGCAAAAATAATATATTCCTGCTGCGTAGGTTTTCCCGGTTGTGCTCGAACAGCACCAGCTCTCCTCCGCTGTGTTTCCCCGGTCCAAGCCGCTGGACGTGATGTCCGACGTTTCGCTCCCACGAGCTTCTTCGGTTTCCCAAAAGGGGCGATTGGCCATCGGGCAAGGATAACCGGTGAGCGGCAGCATCCGACGAAGAAGGGACCGCGCCCCAAGATCTCGTCCACCTCGCAGGTGGAGCGGCGTGGATCGGATCGGAGCTCCCGGCACGTGGAGTGAAACGTCGGACGTGGTGCCGAAAGACTCGTGGGAGGGAGCGCTTTACGAGAAAATCTAAAAATATATATACGTTTGAGCAACAAAAACAAACATACCCCGCGGAACGGGCAACTGACGTGACGCACGGCACAAAACACTCGCGCACAGCGGGAAATTACCCGGCATACTGGGGCCAGATCGTGCGTTGTTTCGGGACCGATTCTTACAAAGCACAAAACCCTGGACGCACCACATCTTAGAAGGCTGAGCAGAGGGCCCAGCCTGCTTTAGTGCTTGGATGGGGGGGCCGCAACTAGGGCTTGCCCAGGTGTCGTAGGCATTGGGCACAGTCAAACGTTGAGTCAAAACTCTCTTCTGAGTTACTGTCTACTCTGCTTGTGTACCACTGCCAATGCAGCAGCAGACGGAGCAGCAGCAGCAGCAGCATCACGCGGTAATCTGTGTACTTTATAAATGTCGGGCGTGTGGGGCACGCAATTTCCTCCCCAACCATCACCACTATCGGCGCAGCCAATCGGTGAACTCGGTAAATCTATTTATATGCGGGTACAGCACATTGACTGGCGAACGAGCACACTGGCTGCGTCATGTCGGTCTGAGTCGCTGCTCGGTAGAGACTCTGCAACTCCTCCGTCTCGTCACGGTCAGTCGCGAGCCGCTCTTGCCTCTGGCTCAGCAGTGCCTTTTTTTTCACAGCATGCAGCTCAGCAGCAGCAGCCAGATGTTTAGGAATTCGATGCCAATATCGAGGTCTGCTGCTGCCTGCAACAACGAGAGGGCTTCAGCCGAGAGAGAGCGAGAGAGAGTGTCGTGTCGCTGTTCCTCCTCCCCCTCCCGTGTTGAAGGTCCGGCTTAGCAGTCGGAGCCACCGTCAGCCTCGACGATTTTTTTGTCCACTCATCAATCATCTTCTTCTTCTGTCGTACGGCCGATGATGCAGATGCAGAGCAACGACTACAATTTCATGATTAGGTTGGTCAAGCCAGATAGCCGCGTTAGGAGCAGCGGAGTTGCAAATGCCATGATGTCTCCTTCGTATTTGTGGATCGAGGCATTGGGTAAGGCGTTGTATGCTGTATGGTCTGTTCTGGATAACCACAGCCGAACACTGCTACTGGAAGGTTTTTTTAATTTCACATCGATCGTTGAGAAATATACCTGACTAAATCATGAACGCAATTCCGCACCTCTGATTAGTAAAGTTGGTTACGTACGGTGCGAAAGAAGTTCAACGTAAATACGTACGTACATGAATATATCTGTCAAAAAATGTGTTGATAGAATAAAAAGGACGGGACGGCGAGGGTTCCAAGGGCAAAGAAGGGGGTGCAGGTGCAGAGTTCAGGGGTCACCTACCTTCTCCAGCTTCACCTCGAGCTCCACCACATCGCCCTCGACCTCTTCGAGGCTCGCCCTAGGGGGGGAAGGGGGGGGCAGGGGTCACACGGAAGAGGTCACGGTCAGAGGAAGTCACTGCCACTGAGCGCACGCCTCCATCCCAATTGAAGCCACTGCAGGGGTACCGACGGTACAGGCAGATATGTGACGAGGTCGGATACGTGGGTTTTACTCCGGGCGTTCCGGTTTTCTTCCACATGTGTGAACACTCCTTTAATGCAGCTGAAAACACCTTAATATATGGAGGGCTACATCACCACACTCGCGTACCACGTGACGTCGTCACCGCACTCGCGTACCACGTGACGTCGTCACCGCACTCGCGTATCACGTGACGTCGTCACCACACTCGTGTATCACGTGACGTCGTCGCCACACTCGTGTATCACGTGACGTCGTCGCCACACTCGCGTACCACGTGACGTCGTCACCGCACTCGCGTATCACGTGACGTCGTCACCACACTCGTGTATCACGTGACGTCGTCGCCACACTCGTGTATCACGTGACGTCGTCGCCACACTCGCGTACCACGTGACGTCGTCGCCACACTCGCGTACCACGTGACGTCGTCGCCACACTCGCGTACCACGTGACGTCTTCGCCAGACTCACGTACCACGTGACGTCATCGCCACACTCGTGTACCACGTGACGTCATCGCCACACTCGTGTACCACGTGACGTCTTCACCACACTCGTGTACCACGTGACGTCGTGCACAGAGAGAGGGCAGACTCGAACGAGTCAACATTTCGGGCCGGATTATAATTGTTTTAGACAGCAGTGGCAGGACAATGAGCAGACCTCACAATCGACGACACCGTTGTTGGGGATCATCAGTACCGTGCAGAAGTCGTTGCCTGCTGCTGCCCAGTGCCCAGGGTTATCACAAATCTTGGGATTTTTGCTTTCACCCCAGGATACTCCTCCTCCTCTTGCTGTTGTTGATGTTGAGGAGGAGGAAGCTGCTCTGCTGGGAAATTATTCCGTCTTCCCGGGGACATTGAAAGTCCCGGTAATTGTCAGTTGCGCAATCACCATCATCAACATCATCACCGTAACAATTAATCGCCACTAGGGACGACGTATTTTTACTTGCACGAGTGCATTTCTCCCCTTCACTTCTAATCATGATAATATTAACTACTACATATGTATGCTGAACTTCTTTCACACCGTACGTATCGAACCGTGCTATACGGCAGCGGCCTGTCATACAATCTCAAGGTACTTGACATCAGTGACAATGCAGGCCAGGGCTGGGGTAATGAACGGCCGAGTGAGACATTCACATTCTCACCACGAGGCTTTCTGGGTTCCTTTTGTTCTACGGGAGGTGGATGGCTGAGTTCAGTGTTCGTCACTCATCTTCAGAGGGGGTGGTCACTTTCGCCGACAAGACATCATCAGTGTTGGTGAGGGCCGCCGCACGTTTGAAACCATTGGGGGTTTTTGTGACAGCAGCACGACGATGACGACGATGATGACGATGATGACGACGGCGACGATGATGACGACGACGATGACGACGATGATGGGGTTGTGCTTTCACCATTTGTGTATTCTCGGGGGACCGCACACGCCAGGGGCCGCACTGAAGGCCACCAGGGGCCCGCCAGTGTCCCGCGGGAGCCTCGCAATGAAGACGCTCACTCAGTTCGTGGCTTATGCCTCAAGGTTGTCGACCGGGCAATGATCCCAAATTGTCCAATCGCAAGAGCCGAGCTGACGTGAACACCCAATGATGCCGGTTGTTGTAATCTCCAGCGCAACGTCTCCGGGTGTATATATTGTGTGTGTATACACAAACATGTATATGTGTATGTATACATATTCTTTGGGTCTTTCGGTAAAGCCACGTAGATAGAAAAATAATAAAAAAATAATCACAACATCACGACGTTTCGATCGCAACACAAGCAAATCGTCATCAGGTGAGAGCTGCTGAAGCAGGAGCGCTGCTAAGGGGCAGGGAGTTATGACGGTTTGAGATGGGTGTGGCCCAAGGGTCAGTGGGCGGGGCTAGAGATTAAATTTGCATGTAAATGTAAGATAGGAGAAATCTTGTATACATATTTACGTGTGTGTACATACATAAAAATGGTCACAAGTGTTGCTTGGACTTTTAAACATTCCTCTCGCTCTCCTCCTTTTGACTCCGGTTTTTGCCGAATAACCAAATCAATTGGCACGTTTGCCCATGACGCGACAACTCGGTTTGATTGGCTCCGTCGCTGTGTGGTGGAGGGCTATATAGTTACTGACATGATGCCCACACGACGACCGAACACAAAACAAGCTGTGCATCAATCCCTCCTTGTTTCTCATCGTTTTACAGACGGTGTTCAAATTGTTGCTGGTGGTGGTGGTGGCGATGCCAAAGACAAACGGGAGGGTTCTTTTTTTTGTTTTAATCGCGGTAGTCAAAACATCCCTGTGGTGTGATGTGACACGTTCCCCCTCTCTGGGTGGTCCTCACTCCCAGATCCCCCCCCCCCCCCTCGCTGATCTCTTCCCGTGACCCCATTCCATCACACACGTAGCTCTGATCCACTTTCATCTCGCACCACTCTTCGCCTGCTCGCCCGCCCGCCCGCCCACTCTCTGCCTTCCACCAAACGGTTTTGGCTCTGCAAAGTTCAAAGGCGCAGCCCTACAATGGCTTTCTAACGCCACTGCCGGCAGAATGGGCCTCCGGTGATAGACGGCCCCCTCGAGGAGGCCTACTCCTCCAACAGCTCGACAGACGGAGGTCATGGAAGACGTGGGAGCACCCGCACATTAACCCCAACCCATCGTAGACTGTGCTACTACACCCGTGCCTACTGCTGGATGGACAGAGGCTTGGAGGCGGGGCAGAGGGGGGGGGAGGGATTCAAATTGGTTTTAAAATAACGGCCTTTATTCCAAGAGAGGGCCACCATTCATGCGTAACATTTCGGCGCAAATAAATAATTTACTGTGCTCTTTCGCCTTCAAATATTTCGTGTCAGGGGCCGGGCGTTCATTGTACGGGGACGGTCGCAGAAAGGGCACGGGCCCCTCGGAGCCGAGATATTTCCACTTGGCAAGGTTGGCGGAAAGCGTGCGGGCGCCCGGGGGTGTCATTCATCACGGCGAGGCGACGCGCACAGACAGAGGTGCCCTGTGTAGCCTCCAATGGGCCCGCTGGGGCAAGTGCTCTTAGCGAGCACCTAAAAAAGGCCAGCGCTGGACACCTATGAATGAGAGGGGGTGGGTAGGTGACCTTCCCGTGTTGTTATGGGTTGACCGACTGAGATGACCGGTAGATGCACCGCCTGTGCTCCCTACTGCGCCAACTTGCTGCATTTTAGTCGCCCGGCGCTCTGCCCCTTTGTTGTGAGCGTCACTCCTTTGCCTTCCGTTGTTGCTGGAGGGCGACTGTCTCCAACTGCCCAGTAGCCTCATTCACGAGCCTTCTCCACAGAGGCCGATCTTGACATCGCCGGTACCGGTCATCGGCAAGTCCACTCAGCTCCACATCCTCCCATACCACATCAGTCCATCTCTTCGCTAGCCCCTGCGGTGACCATTAAGTCCGCTCCATCCGACAAAACAGAAGCTGCTTGGGCATGCGGAGGCTTGGACAGGCGGGTTACGTGACCCAGCCAACGCAGCTTGGCCTGCTCGAGGAGCTCACTGAAGGGGACTCTATCCAGACCCTACAAGGTTCTATGAGCTGTGGTCAACAGGACCTGCAGCATTGTGTGACACAAAATTCCAGACAGATTCCACAGTGGTTATGCAGCCGATGGATGATAAGACAATGTCGCTCGACTGATTAGAAGTGAGATCTCTGCTGCCAAACCGGAGCTGATGAGGAGCATGCTACCCAGGTATGGGAACTCCTCCACTCTCTCCACAAGTTCCCCATTACTCATGTAGAGTGGACGGGGGTGGAGCGTTTTATGACATGCATCTATGTTGAAATTCTTTCACACCGTATCTGGCCAACCGTGCTAATCGGAGGTGCGGGGGAAGGACAACAACAACAAAATACCCAGGCAAATTTTTTGTTGCTGTGGTTTTCACACCTGATGATGATTGCTTGTGTTGCAATCGAAACGTCGTTATAATTTTTTTGTTTTATTTTTATTATTGTATTATTTCCCTTCTACGTGACTTACCGAAAGAACCAAGAATATGAATCCCTGCAGTCACGAAAGCTTTAAATCTAAAAATACCCAGGCAGTTACTTTGTTTTGGTGGGGGTGATTTGCTGTAGCCCCACCTCTTAGTGGCATGCGTCAAGTTCAGGAGCTTAGTATCCAACTCATTCTCAGAGTGTGCAGCGATTTCCAGATCATCAGCATACAAAACATCGTTGACCAATAAGCAGCCATCCCTTAACTGCACCTGTCTATCGATCAGCCTCCCATTGAATATCTCTAACAGATTGACATTCGTGCGGAACAGCCACGGAAAATGTTCTAGAACTATGTGGTCAATGAAGATGTTAAATAGTGTTAGGGGCAAGAGGATATCCCTGTCGTACCCCAAGGTGAACCGGAAACGGCTCTGACTCCCGACGGCGCAGCTTTACCCGGGCATGCCCCCCCCCCCCGCCGTCATGAAGGTCCTTAATGATAGCAAGCAGAGGAGAATCCAAAGCCCTGGTTTCTTGATGACATCATAGGCCTTGCTTACACCTCTACTGTAGCAGAAGGACGGCTCCTGCCCGAGTCTATACTACTAGAGCACCATCAGCCTCTCATCACCATGCCTGGCAAAGTGACGCTGAATCTTCCTTTCCAGGACATTGACCGTCAAGGCGCAGAGGCGGTCTCCCCTTCTTATAAAAGTGGGACACAACCGGGCAGGGCATGCTCCAAATCCCGAGGAAAGCATCCTGGTGGGCCTAGCGGCTACAGCAGGCAGCCTGCACACAACCGTAACGCTCTCGCAGCTATTGTCTGTTCAGGGTATCCTTGTCTCAGGCTCTGGATTGCTCTTTGTACCTACTCGTCAGGTCGTTCTTCAGCCAACCTACAGG